CACACACACACACACACACACACACACACACACACACACACACACACACACAGAGAAGGGTAAATCTCAGAAACTTGACAAGAATGTGTCATGGTTACATTGCACCCCCAAAAAATAAAAAAATATTTTACTTCAAAAAATCTGTTTATAAAAGATTCACTGAATTATAAGTGATTTCAACTGTATTTTGTATTTTTATTTGCTGCAATTCCACACACACACACACACACATATATATGTATGAAACATGAAAAAAATCTGGTCGTATTACAGTAATGAAAATGAAATTGTTTAATATTGAGAACTTAATTGCCTAATTGTCGTGAAAATAAAAAGAAATTCATTTTCATTGCTATGATGTAAAAAATACATAACATTCATCGGTAACATTTATACATAATGGCAGAATTTGCTGCATTGTATTTAATTTATGATTTTCATTAAAATAATTTTAATCTTTATATAACATTGGTCAATTGTAATACAGTAAGAAAACATTGTATTACAGCAATGAGAGTCGAATAAGAATCATTACTAAGTTGCAAAGATTCAATTAAAATAAAACATCATGATGAATTATGATAATGAGAATTTTAAGGTTAAATGTGTTTGTCATGAAAAAGAAATATCATGGTCATCATTAATGTCATGTGAAAAAAAAAAAACATACGTAACTTTTAGCTGTAACATTTATCAATAATGGTAGAATTTGTTGCACAGCATTACATTTAATTTGTGGTGATAATTCAAAATTAATAAAAAACGTAATAAATTATATAAAATAATCCGCTTTTAAATTGCAATACAGTAGTAAAACACTGCATTACAATAATGAGAATGTAATTTGAGTAATTATTGAGAGGCACAAAAAAAGAAAGTAAAACATCAGGATGCATCATGGTAATGAGAATTCGAGGGTTAATTTTGCTTAACTCATGGAAATAATGTCACAACGGAAAAAAAAAGTGCTTATAGTAAGCTGTATTCTCTTTACTTTTTTTTTTATTTGGGAGTGAAATATGACCCGGATATGTTTTTTTTGCATACATACACAACAGTACATGCATTCAGATAAAGGCACACAAACACACACACACACACACACACACACACACACACACACACACACACACACGCACACAGGGTAATTGTAGACTGTGTTTGGTGAGTTTAGAGGGAAGATGTCAGGAAGAGACAGGAAATCTCCGTTCTGCTCGTCTCACCTCCCAAATTACACATCTGTCAACTGACAGGCGCGCTGAGACAGCGGGGGGCGTCTGGGAGCAGCGGCTGCATGTGTGTGTGTGTGTGTGTGTGTGTGTGTGTGTTTGCCGCAGTAGATCTGCTGATGTTGATCGATATTGGAGGGCCATTCTATGTATTTCAGCAGACAATGATTTAGTTGAAATCTGTGTCATTCTTCCAGACTCAAGCGTGTGTTTGTCCGAGTCAATACCTTCTTTTCCAGCTCCGTGGCCTTAGCTTCACTCATTTCCACTTTGGTCTGATCAACCATGTTATCTAGAGAGAAAGAGAGAATAGATGGTTTTAGAGGTGTGTGTGTGTAAAGTGCCCTTTACTGCGACGAGTCTCTTTTCCTCCTGTGATTCGTGCTCTGATTACTGAACGATCTAATTAAAATCTGCTGCTCGCTCCGTCCCATCTCAAACACACGCTAAAATAAGAAACCCAAAAGCGTCTTTGAAATCACCACACAAAGGGCAGCATACATTTATACATCTAAAGCTTATGGAAAACTCTTCTGTGTCTGTTCTCAAGCCCTAAAGTCTCTCTAAACTCCAGATCAACATCACTCGCATGTGTGGCGTTACAAACCAAAAAGAGTCTCAGGAAAGCGAACAAAGCTTAGTTTAACCAGCGAGTCAGCGAGAGGGTCAGCGTTGACGTCAGCAGCCAATGGGAGGGGCTTCTGGTGAGAAAAGGTGGCAGAGAGAATGGAAGTACGGCAGCAAAATTTGAAGTACAAAGGAAAATGCACAAAGAAGTTTGCAAGGAAGGAAATTTGAAAGAATGTACAGAAATAAACAGTATAGCATGCATGGAAGTTCATATGGAATTAAAGAGGAATGACAGGAAGGATGGAAGTGTGGAATGATGTTTGAAAGGAAGTTCAGGAGGAAGTACAAAAGGAAGTATGAAAAGAAGCATGGAAGTACAGAAGGAAGTTCTGAAGTACAGAGCTTGGTATGCATGGAAGTTCAAAGGGAAGTAAGGACGTATAACAGGAGGGATGGAAGTGTAAAATGGAAAGATGGATGGTCTGAAAGGAAGAATGAAAGTTCGATAAGAGTAATGGAAATATGGAAGTAGAATGGGAGGAAGTTTATAAGGAAAGATGAATGGAAGTAAGGAAGTTTGTATGGAAGGAAGTATAACAGGAAGGATGGAAGTATGGAAGGAAGTATAGAATGAAATCTGAAGGAATAATCGAAGTAGGTAGGTTGGAAAGAAGTTCAAAAGGAAATAAGAAACTATGGATGTTTGTATGGAAAGTTTGAAAGGAAGGATAGAAGTACAGAATGATGTTTGAAAGGAAGTACAGTGTAAAGTATGCATGAAAGTTTATAAGTATGGAAGTATGACAAGAGGTATGGAAGTTAGTATGGAAGCAAGTATGAAAAGAAAATTCACAAGGAAGCTCAAAAGGAAAGATGAAAGGGCGAAGGAAGTTTCTAAATATTGAAGGTAGTATGGAAGGAAGAACGTAGTTTAGTTTAAGCACAGAGGGAAGTACTGAATGAAAACTACATTGGGAAGTACAGAAGAAAAGGAAGAAGGAAATGTTCAAAATGTTTCAAATAGTTTAGAATCAGCATAAATCTGTTCATTGTGAAAACAATTACATTTATTCAATTGAAAGAGCGAACATGGTTAAAATATGGCTATTAGTCCTAATACAGACAACTGACAAATATGCATCACATTAGGTTTTTTAGTTTATGCTAAAATAGTGTAATCCAAACGGATGGACATTTTTTTGAAATTAAAATACACAAATCTTATGCCCAAACATCAGACCCACACAGCTAATGTGAGCCACACCACAGGCTGTCTCCGACAAATACTACACGCTAATGACAAAATGAGCTTATTTTTATTAAATCCTAAAGAGCCTGTTTGTGAGCACTCTCAATGTCACGCCCCATTATTCTGGATGAGATTTGAGATGTTCTGATATTTTGTGCGTGATTCTGTACGCTGCCACCCTGTGGCCAAATGTGGCATTACAGTGTATTGTGTTAGTCTCTTACCTATCAGATGGCCCACGTCCAGATCAAACTTCCTGCATTTGAAGTCTGGATCACAGCCGTTCCTGTGCAGAACGATCTGAGCCGTACACTCATCGATGAGTTTATAGTACTGAGGCCTGAGGAACAAACAGAGACAGAGAGACGTCAATCTGTGTTTGACTAGATTCTGAAGCTAAGCCAAACAGAGATATTGAGCGCGCGAGTTCATAAAATAAAACAAGAGATTTTCATCACACTGTTTGGCACAAGGTCGCACACACCAGCCATCCATGATGACCTCCAGTGAGCTTTCAAAATGAGACACTGTTGACAATCTTATCCATCAAAACTGCATTATGACAACCAGAAATGCTGTCTAGGCAGGCGGCTCGCTAGTTCTGAAACGCAGCCCATATGGGATTGTGTGCGAGTGTGTAGTGAGATAAGATTTATATATGTAGATGCAAATTGCCCGACCATTTGAATTACATAGTTTTAATACAACAAACTTAATGTGATGCATATTTGTCTGACTTACATGAAACGGGGAAAAAAAAAGTAAGATTTCTGCACTAAAAAATAAAAAAAAAATAATCAAGGCACAGTTTATTAGCTATCTATATTATTTAAATAATCATGCATTTAATCAAGTAGCTTAGAATCAACACAAATCTTTATGAAAACAATTACATTTATTCAGTTGAAAAGGCTTATTATAGTTAACCATAAAAAAAGTTACCTGACATAATTGAAAGTCAAATATAAACACGTATTTTATTTCAGTTAGTTTCTGAGGCTCTCATTTTCTTTTAGTTTAACTTGATGTACTAAAATACATCAAAACTATATAGACATACATAAAAACAACAAAAACTACTAAAAATGACAAAAACACTCAACAGAATGACAAAAACTTAAATGAAAATGAAACTAGAAAATATATACTGCATAAAAAACAAGCAATATGTAAAAGATTGAAACCAATCAGTATACTGATGATAAATATATAAACCTGGTTACTATGTATTTAAAGCACATTTAGTTTATGAGTGCTACTACAAAAATCTAACCCTGACAAATATGCATCACAGTAAGTTTATTAGTTAATGTATTATGTGTAATCCAAATGGATGGACATTCCAATAAATAAATCTTAAATTCAGGTCTAAATATTTTTCGGTTGTTTTTGAGTGTGTGTGAGAGAGAGTGAAGATAGGCGACATTTGTGTGTGTGTGTGTGTGTGAGATGGTTTGATATTTGAGAGGTTTTCCAGACAGTCCATTTGTGAGAAATCTGCCATCTTGACCTGGTGTGAAACGAACTCGATACATTCTTCATTTTTCTTTTTCCCTTTATTTGCCCTCTTTTCTCTCCCTTCCCTCCCTCCCCATCAAACTCCCGGTTTCTTCGGTGGAGCGAGAGAGACCCCTAGTGTCTGTGTGAAAGCGCAGCCACTCGTTTGCCTTCAACCAGGGGCTTTTGGAGAAATCAGAATAATCCTAATTAATTCTCTCTCGTCAGTGATTAAAGTGGTGAAATGAGAGTTTGTTTGTGGGCAGATGGGCCGCTCGGGGATTTGAGCTGCGGTTATTTTTGGAGGATAATTATATGGAGGCGTCGTCACTTTCTGCCGTGTGTCAGCACATTAATCGCTGCAGAGAAACTCGCATGAAACGATTCTGCTGATGGCAGCAGAGAAAGACCTGCAAACCACTCCATCTCGCACTTCTGTTGCGCTGCTCCTTTCTCAAAACTCATTTACCTCCTTACGAGACGTTCACAACATTTATTGCACTTCTCTGCTCATAATCTGCAATTAAATGGTTAGTTCAGCTAATATTTCAGCATTATTTAATCATTTCATGTTCTCCATGAGGTCTCATACTCCAAAAAAGGACCTAAGAGTGACTCGTGCTCTATATTTCATGCCTTCAAGTCATACAACAGTAACTCAATGATAATCAAATCTCACTCACTCTGCTACATTCAAACTCGGCACAAATATTCAAGCTTGTGAATAACTTACATTTGGGTCTGTTTCTCACTCAAAACTATCCTAAGACCTGGACTATAGTCAAACAGGCTTCTGTTAGCTTTTTTGAAAAGCTTAGACAAGTTTAGAATATAGCCAAGTACTCGGTTTCTGCAGTGTGCAGTATGCATACTGTGCACAATATGTGAATTTTCAGTTTTCATGAAAAACCCAAACAATCTACAATAATAATTTATTTATTTTTTAATAGAGATCATGATTCCCTTCTCAATAGACTACTAAAATGTAATGTTATTTACTAGAAGTTGATAAAATGTTAATTGCCGCAGTCTATTAAAACATCTATTTTTTATTTATTGTTTATTAATCACAATTCAAAACAGTTTGAAAGAATGATACAATGACTCACTCATTACTGGGTGAATCAGTGTTTTTGAATTAATCTCTTGAATGATTAAATAACATGAATCTTTTAAGTAATTTGTCTCCACCTACTGGCCTAACGATGTAATGGTACAATATGTATTTGAAGCACTAAGTTACTTTCAAAAGGTGTTTAACAAAAGTTTAATAGTCATAGCTGAATTGTTGTCATTTAGGAATAAGTTTGCATAAGTGTTCAAATCAAGATCACAAACCTAACAATTATTTGTGAAGCTCTACTTTAAATTAAATTAAAAATGCAAGCTATCTTATTCATGAATTACACTTGCAGTGTAGTGAAAACGTATACTACAGTACTATTTGAACATTTGTTTCATACTGCATACTATTCCACATACTTAAAAAAAATAGTATACAGTATATACTGTGCAGTACACTAGCATTCTATTCCAAACATTACCATTACACACACACACACACACACACACACACACACACACACACACACACACACACAGGCTCAGGACAGAAACAGGTTCTCCAATTTCCTGCCTGTCGGATCACATTGAGCAGACAAGGAACAAGCAACAAGTCTGACATCATGAAAGCGTTTACAAACCATCACACACACACACACACACACACACACACACACACTTCTCCATCTGTCCATGTATTTGCACACTCCCACCAGCTCTTCTCTGCTGTGTGTGTGTGTGTGTGTGTGTGTGTATGAAAGGCTGTTTTAAGAGAGAATAAGAGTGTGTGTGGGTGACTTTAGACGTGCAGGTTAGAGAAACAGAATTGAAAGAAATATGTCTTTTCTCCACTGCAATCATTTCTCTGCCAAGAAAACCTTTAAATGCACCGACATGTGTGTGTGTGTGTGTGTGTGTGTGTGTACATGCTTGTGTGTGTCTGCTAGTTAATTGAAGCGGGGGTGTCATAAAGTGGCTGGGCTCTTATTCAGAGCTGGTCGCCGACGGCAACCGCATCCGCCTCCTGCTGCCCATCAATCAAACGTCTCCTTGTCTCTGACGGCATCCATCTCTCCTGTTTCCCTCCTTTATCCATAAACTCAAACACACTCATGAGAATAACTACGATCTTGTCTCTTAAAGGGACAGTTCAGCCAAAAATCATAATTCTGCCACTATTTAGTCACCCTTATTTTGTTCCAAACCTGTAAGACTTTTTTCTTTTGTGTTACATAAAGACTGCGCTGGTTGCTCTTTTTATGCTGTTATACTGAATAGAGACTGAGGTAAAAGCATCAGAACAGCAGTCCATATGACTCACGCAGTGAAACAGAATAAAATATAGGTTATAATTACTGAAAATCTGTACCTACAGTGAGAAGTAATTGGATTGATCTGGTTTTCACTAATTCAATGATCTAATTCACAACCAAATCAACAGATTCACTGTTGATTTAAAAGATTAAAATCAAACAAAAATACTTTTACAAATTGGACATCAGTACTTATGAAAGAAGAATTTTTCTTTGAATAACAGCTTAATGTTGGTCAGTTCCTCACATAAAGCTATCATATGACTTCAGAAGATGTGTAATATAGGACCAGGGTTGTACAAAATATTTGTTTTAATGCTTCTGCATACTTTTTTGAGGCTTAAAAGTTTTCTGTTCATTGTAATTGCATAAGAAACAAGTCTTTTTCTTATTTTATGTTCCACAGAAGTCAGTCATACAGGTCTGGAGAAACAAAAGGTTGTTGTTATTAACCAGAACTAAAATGACTGAAAATCATTTTCACTCAATAAAATAAAATATAAAATTAAAAATAAATTAAAATAAAACCTTAACAAAAATGAGAAATGTTACCTAACTGAAACAAAAATTTGAAATGTTACCTAACTGAAATAATTTGAAATTGAAGTACTAAAATTGCTAAAACTGAATTTTAATCAATTAAAGCTAAATAGAAATATTTTTTAAATGAATAAAAATGTCCAAATCACATAAAATTCATATTTAAAATTTAAAATGGAAATATAAAAACAGAAAACTAAAATAGAAATAAATACTATAATAGCATATAAATAATACTGTGACAGAATTTTTATTTTTGGGTGAGCTATCGCTTGAAATAATTCCTGGTCCATGTTCACACAGTCAGTGTTTGGGATTCACTGTATTTGCAATGAGATGTGACTCTGAAATTGTCACGTACACACAACGGGAACAGATCCAATAATGTCTGTACAGACGGGACACCGATATCATTCCTCTTCTCTAACTCAGTTACACTCATAACCACAGCAACAGCTAACCCAAATGAAGACATTAGCTCTGTTCCACAACCTAGTGACCCACCTACAAAAAGTCAAGTCATCGCTGGCCACTTAAAGACTGCTGGATTCAGTAAATAGTAGAATTACACAACCTTCCAAGATGCCTTGCTTTGATTAAATTAATCCTTCATGAGGAAGACAATCCCTGAGAACAGTACAGTTATTATCTAAGATAGTTAATGAAGAGAGAAAAGCGTTCATTATATTCCTTTCATTTATTATGTTGCCTATGTAGACAGCAGACAGATAGGGAGCACACTGGACTTTTGTATTGCGTCTGACCCCTGTGTGTTCTGTCTGGTTGTGCTTTTTTATTCAATTCAGGTTTTTGTCTTCCCTTCCTTCACCTGTCCAAAGTTTTGACAGGTGTTTTTCTTGCTCTGCAAGCACACAATAACATCACTTTCTGCCATTTCTCATAAGCTGAGAGCAGTTGACAGCTGTAACATCAGTGATTGACAGTCAAATAACCTCTCAAGCTCACGCTTGTATATGCATGTCAAGTTGTCAGCCACAGTTTCATCAATATAGCACGCATCAACTGGCTCAAAATTCATTTGTGAAGTTTTCCGACAGGGTTAAAGGTCACTGCAGGGTGAAGGTGAGCGCTCGTACCTGGCCATGTAGTCGGTTCGCACCAGTAGCAGGTGCTGCATCAGAGACAGGAAGAGAGGTTCAGTTTTAGAGTCCTTCACCGTGTTCATCAAGATCTGGAAGACTTCAGTCACATCAGTGACCACAGAGTTAAAGAACAACAACAAAAACATTTGATGTAGTTTACTTTCCATAACTGAAAATACATCTGTCCAGTGTTCTTACTACTGGTAACTAAAACTAAACCTATTTAAGAAAAAAAAAATCCTAATAGACAATAAAATATAAAATAATATATTTGATGAAAGAATTAATCTAAATGACAATTAGAAAAGTTCCCTGGGGTATTAACTTGCGTCTCAGTAAGTCTCAAGTACTAAAATCATTTGACAATCTAAAACTTAATTAAAAACCCTTTAGAAATATTTTTTAAAACAAATGATTAAAAATGGCAAAAGCACATAAAATATGACAAATGAAATGAAAACCTGAAATATAAAAATGAATTATAAAAAATAACACCTGCAGTGAATATTACATGAATATATTATATTTCATTCAGCTCTACTGTGATCATTTCTAAGACTATAAAATGATGCAACTTTCAAATCAATATGTCGATTAAACGGTACTTTTTTTCTCTTGCTGTTCATCTTTTGCGAATGACAAAAACACAAGATCCAGCTTAGACTTTCTGATGCCACCTGGTGGACAAAACCTGAAAAATCAGATTTAAAAATCTACTAAAAAAAGGCTATTTATTCTGAATCTCAGTATATTTTGTATTAATAGCCCACTTCCAATGTTAATTGAGGCTTCTTGCACAAAACCGGTCATATTTTAATTTCCTCACTGACAATAAAACAAGACTGTTTTGTTTTGTTCATTTTATTTTGCTACTGTGCCTTCTAAATATAAATGACCTCTGTTATGAAACGTCTTCAAATGGGAAAAGAACGTGTTTTTTTAAAGAGTAAGGTTAAATCCTGTATTTTGTGATATGAGCCTCTATAGAGTGTAAAATATGAGCTGAAGGATTGCCGCAGCTTGTAATAATGATTCTGCACTTTTGAGACACCTGGTGGCCAGTTTCTGAACTACAACCAGATCCAATACAATATTAAATCAACAGCGTAAATAATACATCTACAAAGCCCAGCATTGAATCCAAAGCTCTTCAAAAGCGTCTTCGACAGATTGAAGTCAGCAGTAAAGGATATTCCATCTCAAGACGAACGTCGTCCAACCGGGAGCGAAGATCTTCAGAGTCATCATCAGCTTGTTCTTCAAACACCTGCAACTGAACCTTGAGCTCCTCGTTCTCTATCGACCTCACCTCCTACACACACAAACACAGACTCTAAGTCAAACTGAAATTAATTGTGCCATTATATAAATTAGTGATGAGTTTGACAATAACAAGTTAGGATGAACTTCAAGTGAAAACACTAAATGATTGTTGGTCATGTTGCATTGCACGTGCATATACAATATAATTGAGATACTAATATAGTTTTTATTAATATTTTTAATTTTTCTTTTTATATTTCCCGTTTTCATTTTAATTTCAATGTTTTAGTAACTTTGTTGTGTGCTTTTGTCATTTTTATACATTTTAAGCTTATATAGTTTTAATTTTTATTTCAGTTTTAGTTGTTTTTATATAAGTTCAACTAAATGAAAATGAAAAGTGTTGCATTGGAAACTAGCTAAAATTAAATATGTTTCTTATATATTTTATTTCTGTTGATATGAATGTATGTATGTATGTATGTATGTATGTATGTATGTGTGTACTTATTTTTTAATTAATTAATTTTAACGGTTTTAATTTTAGTTGCAGTTCACTGTAACATCCCCGACGAGAGCTGAGACATAAAACGCTGTCAGGTCTAGAGTTATTATCATTACCTAAAACTAATACCATTAAATAATAATAATAATAATAATAATAATAATAAAATAAAATTTACGTTAACCAAAATAAAAAGTATATAAAAATATTTTTTTCACCTAGCTGCCAAAACATCTCATTTTAAATGAGTTTAAATTTACATAAATATGTACTAAATAACTTAAGTTAAAACTGAAATAAAATTCAATAAAAACTATATAGACATAATAAAACAAATCTACTACAAAACGACAAAATTTAAATTCAAAATTCAATTGAAATTCAAAATATTAATTAAAACTAGAATAGTATCTCAATGATACTAAAATAACACTGGTCATCTGATTTATTCTAGAAAGCCAATTCATTGATTCATTTGAGTTTCTGCACATTTATTTATTTTCTGCACAGAGATAAAATTATAATTACAGTAATGCAAACACATCATTGAAAGTCTTTGTGATATTTTATAAAGACAACATTGCTATTCATTTTTAGTAGTATTCAACTGCATGTCAGTTTTTGGCATGCTGTGTTTTGTGTTTGAGGACCTTCAGCAGGTCTTTGAGTCCCAGTCTCATGAGCTCTGATCTCAGGTGGATCCTGAAGTCCAGCTCCTCCACTCGACTGATGAGAGCGTTGATCAGCTGCATACAGCCAGCCTGCACACACACACATCAGTGAAATGACATCCCATCAGCAGCCTGTGTTCTGGAGTGTCACGTGCGGGTGTTTTACCTTGAGCGTGATGGAGTTTTTATGCATGCCGGACAGCAGCGGCTGGAACCTCTCGATCTCCTGCTCCTCAGCCTGCTCAGTGATGCACTCCAGAACTCGCTCATGACTGAAACACACACAAAGCATAATAAGAGACTCTGTGGATAATTTAAAGCGGAATCTGTTGAGGGTTTGTCTTCAAAGCTTCCCTCTCTGCTCTAGCACTTACATCTCATTTGTGTTTGTTTTTTTACATGTGAAATGATTGCTCATCTTTGGTGGCATTTTTTTAACTGAATGCAAGTCAGAATGATAATTGAGAGCTTTGGGAAGATTTTTAGTTAACAGAGTGAAACAAGTGTTTATAAAAGTTTTGTTTTGCTTTTATTTTTAATATTTCTTTATTAAGTTTGACATTCGGAATATCAAAATCACATTACTTTTTGTATCTCATTTATTTTTAATAAAATATTTGTATTTGTTTATTAAGTTTGACATTATTAATATGAAAATCACATTATTTTTTACAGTACACCATTTAACAGTGTTCATGAAAACTAATATATATTGACAACTTATACAAGCTAATATGTTATTACAATTTCTTGTTACATTGTGTAATGACTTAATGTCTACTTAGGGCTGTAACAAATTATGTTATAGTATTTATTTATATTTTGAATGAGATTTATGTTCATATATTTTTATATTTATGTTTTTCATTTTCATTTTAGTTTGTTACTTTTGTGTGTGGTTTTGTCATTTGTAATTTTTCTATATAACTTTTAATTTATTTCCATGATTGTAGCACTTACATTTATTTCAGTTCACAGTTTTTCATCTAATATTTGTATTTTATTTTATTTCAGCTTTACTTCAAATACAAAACAAATACAGAAAATCTCAGTCAGCTAAAACCTACCATGATAAAATGTTAATGGAGATAAAAAAAAAAATATATATATATATATATATATATTAGGGATGTGCATCTCATGACTCGGGCCGATACGATACGCATCTCGATGCATAGCCAATGATACAATATATTAAAGATACATATGAAGCAGCTACCGATGCGATACAATTCACCCGTTACGATGCACTGCGATCCGATTCCGATTCGATTAGATTCAACACAATATGATGCAATGGAGAAAATATGATCACTTTTAATGCCTCGAGGCCTGTTTCATAAAACAAGTTAACCAAAT